ATTGGATCGGTAATGAGAACGGACTCATCATGAGTCGGGCGATAAACTAGGTCACAAATTAGTTGAGGCCCATTGAGTGAAGGGTAATTAATATTCGACTTACCAGATATAGCCAGCAGAAGACATTCAATGGCTCTAGTAGCGAGCACAATGGTTATCGAGTTACCGGAGAGAGATCTGAACAGTTCATCTGATGTCAAGAACGCAACCAAAACCCGATTGCTATGAGACACAAAAGCTTGGTCTGGGGACATCTGCAACGATCGTTAGCACGGATATCATTCAAAGCAAAAGCGAACAACACCAACTCACCTCTGCCGCTTCCTCATGGAGACACATTGACAGTGTATTCAAGGAATACAGAGCCTTGAAAGGTCTTTGCAATGGGAACATGTCTTTTTCGGTGTTGTTGCTGGATCGAACAAGTTCGAGAGCCCGTATTTGAGGTGGGAATACAACCAGGAAGTCAATGATCTGCAAAGCGTCAGTGTCAGCATTCAGCTAAAAGAGAAGAGCGAACGGAGTTATACCTGTCGAGCCAAGTCATCTTTGAGATCAAGCAGATCATACAGCTCATCGAAGTGCTTCAGCACTTCGTTGTCCACTGCTGTCAGAGACTGACGTCTCCCAGCCCACGTGATTTCATGGGCGTCGGGGGCCTTTCGAAGAATGAGCAAACCCGAAGAGAGCTTCAAGTTTTTCACAAGTGCATCTGGATCTTGCAGCAACTCAACCTTCTGTCCACCAAGGATAGCAGTGAACTTGGAGAATCGACTCAGCTGCACGAGCATTTCCACAAGCTCGGCAGCCGTAGAAAGACCACCAATACGCTTTGAACAGATTTTGGATATGGCAGCGCCATTGAAACATTGATATTGAAATTCAATGGGGTCGCCTTTTAGAGGACGTTCTGGGAGGGTAGGCGGAGAGCCACGAGGGGAGCTGTACTGTGGCCGAGTTCGCAATCCATGGAGTAATTGACGAAGGAAATGTAGAGACCGACTGAACATAAGTTCATCAGTTCCGGTATCGTCATTGGGCTTGTCAATATCCATGGAAACATCGCCATTCGTTGTTCTATTGCCAGATGGTTTCAACGCAGCAGCGGCAGACTTCAGTTGGTCCACGCAGCGATTGACAAGGGCAATATGAGTAGCGTCAATAGCCGACCTGGGGGATCTGCGAACAATACCGTGATCCAGATAACTATCAATGGCAAACTTGATCGCCTCGGCTTCGATTGTTTGTGGAGGTGCCGTCAATATGAAGTTCCAGATTCGATCCATCCCAGGTATAGCTATGACTTCATTTTCCCCGACAATGGGGGGTGACTTGATTCGAATCTCATAATGGACCGACTGTTGAGCGAACCATAATACCTCGCGCGAGTAGTCGTTGGGAAGGACATCCGGTAGATACTCATGAATGCATAGTTCAAGAAACGGGTTCTCTTTGGAGGTACGGTTGGTGAGATCGACCATCATTTTCCAAATCGTTTGACGCTCTTCCGGAGCCAAGTTCTCGGACATGAAAATATCCTTCCAGAGCGTGTTCCCGAGATCAGGTGTGATAGTCTCTGGGGCCAGATCAATAAGGCGCCGCAGGATTTCCACCCGCGAGGAAAAGCCATGCTTAGCAGACGGATCCTTGAGCTTAGCGTGGTCTTCAGTAACGAGATGGTGAAGTTCGATTATCACCAAGCGCGTCAAGTCGAAATCGGTCGCAAGTTTCCAGAGCTCTCGTGCGTCATCCCGGGGTACTAGTGCGTTCAACACCTGAATGCTACCCGCAGTGCATTCATTCATCTCTGCAATGTCTTGAATGCAGCGCTCATATGTCTCAGCCATGTCGGTTTCGTTGAGTCCAGCCTTGATGAACTGTCCTAATTGCTCGCTTCCAAATCCTTGCATAAGTTCCTTTTGTTCCAACGGAAGGTCCTTCGCCCCCGAACTCTCGCGGATTAGACGGATGCAGAGCTTCAGTGGAATAGAATCGATATGATCCTCAGCGGACATGTTGCAATAGTCCCGATCGCGATCCAGTTGCCGTTCGCGCATACGAGGCACCAGTTGCTCGCAGAAATCAATTATGCGACTGTCGAAGCGATCCAAGGGAAACTCAAGCAATTTTGAGCACACATAGAGCAACGCTTTGGACCTCGACTGATGCATGGCAAAGGTTCGTGCCAGCATGGATATGACCTCACAGACAGTACGATCATCTTGGCTCTCAGTGACGGTCTTCCAGATAACATCCGTGTCATGGTCGGTGTATTTCGACGTCACAATCAGGAATCCAAAGATGTTACTGCTGCGGCTGATCAACTGCGGGTGTGAGTCGATGCCCACAAGATAATCGAGGATCTTGTTTTCACGAAGATATTCAACCAAGTATTTCAGAAACGGTGACTCGATCCCTTCGCGGTTTTGGGATACATTTTGACCCCAAATGCTGACCAGATCTGATTGCATCATTTCGACGCCGTGGACACGAAGCTCCATTCGACCTTCCATGATCTGTCTTTTCAGAGTATCGAATTTCCACGTCCAAATAACACACAAGGCGGCTTGCTCTGCATCTGCGTCCTCGGGTACTTTGACCGACAATTCCTGAGCAAGTTGGAGTAAGAATTCCGAGTAACCAAAGCAAAGGAAACGGTAGCTGCGGAAGATTGGGCTTAGAAGACTATCGCTCAGTTCACTAGTAGCCAGCTGTGACTTCTTTGCGACAAAGTTCTGGTATACTTTGTCAATTGCTCGAACCGTTTCATAGAAAGGCTGAAGGCTGGTTGAATCGACAGCCAGGTCAACGGGAGAATCAGAACCACTATTTTGGCTCCTCTCCGTGTCGCATTCAAAAAATGCGAGCATGTTGAGCAAAGGCCCCGAAAGCATGGTGACGATCTGCGGGCACTTTGGAAGCAATGAAAGTAGACGCGAAGTGTATTGAATTAGTGCGCCGGGTGCATCGAACGGAGGAGCTGAGACCTGAGCTTTAACTCGGGCAGAAAGTTCGGGATCTCCATGGGGGGATTGGTTTTCCAAGACCCGGAAAAAGGGAATTGCTACACCATGGAACATCCAAGGGAAGCTATGAAGATATCGTCGACAGGTGCTTGGAGGCATTTCGATCTCTTCGTCATTTTCATCAACGACGCCGAGAAGCGCAGTGTCCAAGCGAATAAGATGGAGGACAATGCGAGCATAATCGAGAAGATATTGCTCAAAGAAGGCTGATAGATCTTCAATGCCCTCCAGTTGCAGCTCTTGTTGTCTGCGCAAAAGACGATCCAGGACGGAGGGCAAATATTCCCAGAAATCTATATCTGACGCAAATTCATCGATTGTGAGTCGATCAAGATCACGCACACAAGTCTGAAGCCATTGTTTTATTGTAGCGAGTGCCGTGCCTTCCCGTGGGTGTCCTGTTCGCTGAATTAATATCCGGCCAAGTCTCATCATTGGGGGGAGTCCGCTCTTACCATGTTCAAGCATATCACCAATCGCCTTGAAGTTCTCTCGGGCTGTCATATCGGGGTGTACTTTGGGGAAAGTGTCGGAAAGAGGAACCAGGTCTTGGATCTCTATCACTTCGGGTTCACCCTGATCCCGTACCACTTGGCCCAGTGACTTCCAGTTTGAGGTCTTCGGATCCTGGTTTATGTCTTCCGGTTCAGCGACTTCGATTTCAGGACTTCGGGGTGATGAGGATGAGGAGGAAAGTGAAATGGGATTGGGAGCTGTATCGGTATCTGGTAGGAGCTCCAGATCGTCACCCGAGAGCTCAGGGTCGGAGGGAGAAATGTCAGGAGCCATGGGAGATAAAGGAGATTTTGTGTTAATAGTGACTTTGTTAGCTGGATTCCCAGAATCCGAGGCCTCATCCATGTCTGAGGCAGGTGCGATGGAGGCAGTATGTGAGGTTCCACCCAACGACAAGGTCGGGCTCACGCGACTTCCACTGTCGAGACGCGGACGTTTCCGGGTCGCCTGAGGATCAAGATCCTCCATAGAGTCGCTGATGAATGTAGATTCTTCGTTCAAGGGAGTGTGAGGTGGGGTGTAAGAGCTATCTGGCGGGGGTACAGCCATGTCATTTTCCGCGCGCAGGGGATCCAGTGAAGTTGAACCAACGCGTGAAATGAAGATAATACAAGAATGAAGATTGAAGAAAAAGAAGGTTGAGAGCTCAAGAAAAGGATTGAGTGGAAGAGAAGTAAAGGTCAGTCCTCAGAGAAGATAAAGCGGTCGACAGCTTTTTTTGGGGACGCGCCAGAGAACCAGTGACGTTGTTCTGTGGAGAGAGAGCCAACAGGACATGGGACATTCCTTAACAAAGGCACAACCAAGCTTACGGGGAATTAATTATCGCCTGTTCGCATTGCAGATTACCTATTACAGTTTACATAGAAAGCAAAATAATAAAGCGTATAATTACTGTGAAGTTGGTAGCAAATACGACTGCCTATCTACATCACTCTAGCTATATAAAGCGAGATATAAAGCGCCAAAAATGCACAGCCCCTTATGCGGCCTTATGCATCGAGTCTGGACTCTTGGCATCTATGGACTATTGTCTCATTAATTCTGTTGAATTTGTCAATGTTTTGAAGAAGCTGTAGTTATTTATCAATACAAGAATAATCGGTCGCTCATGTGGCCTCTGTCCTTCACGGTGTATATTTTGCCTAAGATGAATTCGGGGGATTTGGAATGTTATATGTAAGCACACTCCGATACCTAGGTGTGGTTGTAGATGTTTTTGTATGCTTTTTTAGATATATACGAAGATAAAAATCATAGACTGTACAGACAATCGTTTTTTTTATATATCACCTTTGATCTATATCGTTGTCTGGACCAGGCGTGCATGACGCCCATGTAACATAGACGCAGTTTCATTGACCCTTCAATATCTCTTATAGATGCAAGTTACTAGGAAGTTCTATATTATATCTCTCTAGTATCTAACTACCACTTGATGAATAACACAGAGGCCAATCACTCTTTCATTGTCGTTTCAATGCGACGAATGATCCTAGCTGGGTTCCCCGCAGCTACATGAAAAGCGGGCACATCCTGAAGTTAAAGTCAGCATGATCGTGCAATCAAGCTATGAGAATATGCATATACCTTTGTAACCACACTCCCAGCTCCAATTGTCACCCCTCTACCAATAGTAACACCAGGAAGGACAATCACATTCCCACCGAGCCAGCAGTCCTCCCCGATAACAATCGGCTTACCAGTCTCGGGGCCTTCAGTACCATTGCGCAGAGCAGGATCAAGCGGATGAGTCCCAGAGAACAAGCAAACATTAGGACCGAACAAAGTACGAGCCCCAACCGTAATAGGGCAGGTATCGATGAAGACACAGTTAAAGTTGACGAAGACTCCCGCTCCAAGCTTGACATTGAACCCGTAGTCTATCTTGACAGGGGCTTCGACCCAGGGTTCCTGCTCGAAGAGCGCATCGTCGGCTGCGGGGTCATCCAATTTTGGTGGTAGCGGGGTCTTATCTTCAGTGATACTATATAATGATTTAGTACAGGTAGTATATTTCTATATTGAAGTAAACCCAAACATCAGCTTGACCACATCACTCACTCTCTCCACATTTGAACAAGACCTCGACGAGACATCTCCTCTGACTTATTGAACCGATTACAAGCCCGCTTGCAGCGCATACGAGCAGCGATCAAGTCCGGCGTGAACGCTCGGTAGAGCTCCCCGCGAAGCATCTTCTCTTTCTCAGTCGGCTGCGACATGCCTATGACCGTCATGGCTATCGTACCGTATATAAAAGCCGAAAAGAGGAGGAACAGCCAAGTCAGTACGAAATGTAGTAGTTCAAGACATATAGAGATCTGGGAGCCTTAAAGCCAAGGCTATATGGGCCCGGGATGTGTCATGTCGGGGAAAGGTCCACGGGTGCCGATGCAAAACAATACAACTCTCTTCAGATTGTTCTCAGACAATGAAACCCGACACACATCCACCCGCGACATCTACTATTTAAATTCCACCAATTCCCTCGAAATGCCCGATACTCGAACCAAATAAACACATCAAGAACTCTCTGTCCTCCACAGCCCACCTCCTATTTCTTTACCAATGTTCTCCAACGCAACAACTTCTGGCGCAGAGCCAAACAAAGCTCCGAACTTCACACACACCTCCAAATATATATCACCTCCAATCCACGACCGCACAAACAGCAATGCATCATTCTCCTCCTCCGCCTCAACCGACGCGCCCGATCCCTATACTTCAATCTACCCAGACGGCAAGATGTCACTAGCGGGGATCTCGCTGCGCGCAATGCTCCTGGGAACCAGCCTCGGGGTATCAGCAAGCATGGCGCTATTCCTAAGCACCGTGTACCCAACTCCACTCTGGCGCGTTCCCTTCTTCGTCGCCTCGCTGAGCTTGTTCCACTTCCTGGAATTCTACGTGACAGCGAAGTACAACACACGGTATGCGACTGTCTCCGCGTTCCTGCTGTCATCGAACGGATGGGCCTATAATCTCGCACACGGATCTGCCATTGTGGAATGCCTTGTGGCACATATTTTCTGGCCTGGGCAGACTGCTGCTGGGCGGACGTTCACTGTGACGGAACCGTTTTTCGGAAGCTCGATCTCCCTGCTGCTTGTCGGGGGCTTTGTGCTTCTTTTGATCGGACAGGTCATTCGGACTCTTGCTATGGCGCAGGCTGCTAGTAACTTTAATCACCATGTGCAGAGTCAGCACCAGGAGGGTCACGTTTTGGTTAATACTGGTCTTTATCGGTATCTGCGGCATCCGAGCTACTTTGGATTCTTCTGGTGGGGACTGGGAACACAACTAGTGCTCGGAAATATGGTTTGCTTTGTTGGCTATTCCCTAGTGTTGTGGCGGTTCTTCTCGAGCCGGATCAGGCGTAAGTTGTCTGTCGATTTTTGCGTATTGGAATTACCGCTAACTGGGTTATGCGGCTACAGGCGAAGAAACTTATTTGATTTCATTCTTCGGTGACGAGTATGTTCAGTACAGAAAAGCTACTCCGGTGGGTATCCCGGGAATTTAGTTGCAAAATAATACGGTAAGGCAGATATCAAATTGAGTCAATATGTACAAAGAAATTAGTTCATGTGAAAATTTATGGAGCTATATTTGATCAATTAGAACTCTGGTATATGATATAAGGTGCGATCACACCCGTAGACGTAGTAGCTTCAATCCTGTAAGCTATTCACATTGGCATCATTATAGCTTACTTTCAGGCGCGACTCCAACCGCGCCACTCATGTAAGGTCCACTCTCATCTGACTCGGCCGGGGCGGTCTCAGCGCCGAAAAGGACAAGCTCTCGCCCACCTTCAGTGCTCCACCATGTAACACAGCAGTGTGATCGATCAACATCCATCTCGCCACCGGCTAGGGCTTCCCAGAAACGCTCGATACACGCATGTCGCATATTGCGATCGGAAATTGTGTTGATCAATTCTGCTGCTAAGGGAAGCCATTCTTTCAGGGTATTGACTTGTAGGAATGAAAGGGAATCGAGGAGAGCAAGGGTTAGCACAGCCTGTTCAGAGACAGGTGGACTTTGGCTCATGTCTGGATTTGGACCTTGCGGAGGGAGCGGCGTAGAGGAAGCGTTCAAAGCACGATCGTGAATAACTTCCAGCAAGATGGATGGAAGAAGGGGTTGACTATTTGCTAGAGGAGAAGGAGGTGCTGTAATTTGGATGACAGTCTTGAAAGCAAGACGGAATTGACGCCCGGAAAGATTATTGGGGAAAACCTGTAAACGATTAGAACCTACTTTTGCATAGTAGCGGGGATGGAACTCACGGCAAAAAGATTTTCGATATAGAAAGGTAGGTGTTTGGCAGCTAGTTCCGAGTTATGGGGAATAGCGAAGACAACAAGCACCAGGCTGTGAGCAGCTTCGAAAATCTCCAACAAAAGACTGTTAGCACCGGTTGCGAGATATGGGAAAGCGGCGGCCAATAATAGTGCCTCGTTCGTCTCTGATGATAGGACAATAGGGAAATGCTCTGCCACATTCAGGAAGAAAAGATCCAGACATCGTTCAACTGGGTGAGCAGGAATTTGTCCAATGTCGCTTGGCTTAATGCTTCGCAGGAAGTTCTCGGCAAGAACGGGGTATTGTGAAAGGATGTCTATGGCTGCCAGGAGCACGAATGTCTGTTGCGATGACGCATTCTGGCCAAGCCGAGAAGAGATGAAATACATGTTGCGAAGTATGTGGAGGCATTGCATCGATAGGTATGGGGCACCTGTAATTAACATTAGTACAAAGCAAATGCCACGACTAGTCTGTAACTTACTGCTGCTAGCAGCAAGAGCTGGATCATTGATAGTTCTTCCCAGCACAGCCCGAAGGGCAATAACCACGGAATATAAGCAATTCCGCAACATCTTCCAGAGGGCAGGAAGTGTGATTTCTCGGGATTCAGTGTCTAGGAACTCTGATTCTTCCGCAACATCAATCTCAGACATTTTATTCTGCCGCCATTGAACCATGAGCGTGCGAACGAAGCCGGCCAGATAATCAACAGTCTGCGCAACAATTCTCGGATCTCGAACATTATCAATAGAGTGCGCAATAAGGCGAGACAAAGGCCCTAAAGTGGACACAAGGGGACGAGCTGCTACCGCCGAGACAATGCCAAACGTGGGGGAGTTGGACGACCAGCGGAACTTCTTCCCGGGAGCCTCAACAACATCCTGATCAATAGATCCCAAGAAATAGCCACCCTCGAGACCCTCTGAAGACAGATATGCTGACTGAATCATCGCCGGGAGCAAGCGATCATAATCCAGCTTGCTTCTCTCAAGATCTGATAGGAGCTCAAAAGTGTAGTTCAAGACCATAGTGATGCACTGTCCATCAACCCCAGTCTCAGGGCCAAGCTCCTCCAGCGCTAATTGCGCCGCTCTTGCAAGCGCTGACTCGAGTTTCACCCGAATATGTCGTGGTAAACCCCGTCGGTTTTGCCCCTCGAATCCCATCAAGATCCCGCCTAGTAGAAGCATATGCCTCCACCGCGGGGACTTATCATCAGCGCCCTCAGCAACCGCCTTGACCCACGCCTCACACTCAATCTTCCTATTTCGCCCGTATGGTATCCGAGGTTCGTCTGTAGTGTCATTCTGCAAGACAGCGATGGCAGCGGTGTTGAAAACGCTAAGAATCTTGCGACATGATTGGAGGTCGACGGGGTGGCTCCAGAGCGAAGGTGCAGTGAGGAGTTGTGATGAAAGGAGTGTCAGGTTCAGAGGATTGCCCAACATAGAAAGGAAGCTGATAGCTGTGGGAAGAAGACTGAATTGGCCTGTTGTTAGCCTGACATTGACCTCCCCAATCGGATTGGGGCTATGTGCCACTTACGCAGCGGCATCTTCGAAGCTGGAGGTCGCCTGCAGCGACCGCAGCAGGGTGGCTAGAGATCTTTCCGTGGCCATTTCAAGACTTGAGGTAATAGGGATGCTCCCAGACAAGAGGCTCTACATCGCACAGGGAGTGTGATGATCAACCGCGGAGAAGCCGAGGTCCGGGGGTACAGAGCCAAATACGGGCATCCACCCAAAATGGACCAATGAGACATAGCCAAACAATGCAAACAAGCATCGTCATCTTCAAGGGTCTCCAGACTTGCCTTTTTCGTTAATACGCGTGCAGTACATATCTGTTCAACCCAACTGTCCCCTATTCACGTGTCATGCTTCGATGATTGACCTTCGCTGCAGCTGAACCGGCGCAGCTACCTCTCAATGGCCAGCAACCGCGTCCCTATCAACTACGAAGTACCTACATTTCCGTCATTGTACGATCCCCTGCCGGCACATCATCAGGAAGCGTACTACCTATACTACACGAAAGACATATGGCGCTTCACACTTTTCTGGACGCTAATATTCTACGCAGCGACACATCTAACTGTTGCTGTGTGTGCGGTATTGACTCATTTCCGTAACTGGAATGTGATATGGATTGTACCGTTGGTGTATGCTTTTATCGCAGGGCTGGAGGGGCTTTTAGCAGGGAGTATAGTTGGACTAGTGTAAGTTGGTTACTTGATACTTGGCCCTCCTGGAATGATTAGGTAGCTGACGCTTTTGCGGTGGATAGCCTTGGTGCGGTGTACGAGGCAGGCAATTTCAGGATGTCAACTTGGCTGCCTATGATATGGGGTGGTGTTAATGTTATGGTTCTTATCATTACCAGCTTCCCCATGCAAGGTGGCCTTTGAATAGTATCCCGGTTGCTCCTACCTTCGACTATACTACAGCAATTATCTACATGAGCTACGAAGTCGGAATATGTCCAACCAATCAACCTACGCAAACAGCTCGTCGACAAGAACTCAGGAAACCTCGCAATGCCCGAAAATTTCCTATCATACAAATGAGATTTGATGTCTCTAATAACGCCGTCGCCCCGCATCAAAGTAGTCATGCTATGTCCTTTGCGCCAATGCCAAGCCGATTCAACGTGCATTGCAAATCAGATGTCCATTTTTCATCACTGTCTCCGATTGCCATCGGGCATACCACCGCCTTGCAAACCAGGCAATCCACCAAATCCACCAGGGAAGCCGGGGTTGTTCGCCAAAGCTTGGAAATTGAGATTCTGTGGCATAGGGAAACCCTGGAGCTGCTTCTGCAATTGTGCTAGGTCCATATTCATGGGCGGTGTTCCGGTCATACCCTGCGGCATGGGGAACCCATGCATTCCAGGTATGGGGGTACTTGACTGCGATGGAGGTTGAGTGGACATGAGTGCAGCCAAACGGCCCGGATCCATCCCACCCATAGCGCTACCATCCACTCCTGGCTGCCGGGGCTGAGCACTGCCAATACCAGGTAACAACCCTGGCGCATCGGGCTGAGGGCCGGCCGGCGGCGCACTTTGAATACCCGGCAGAGCAGGACCACCTGGTCGTCGTTGATCGACCAGGCTCTCGGCTTCGTCCTGCATTTCTTGCTCCTCGTCCTCGCGCATTTGTTTCCGGCCAAACCCGCGATTCCATGTTCCCTGGGCTTCTGCAGCCTCTTCGCCGATGTGGAATCGGTCTTTCATATAGCTAGTCTCGCCAGGCCGAGTCCGCGACCAGAATCGAGTGAAATTATCCTTAGATCCAGAAGCCAAGATATGGCCCAGTGGGTGCCAGTCTAGTGACCAAATTGTAGCACCGTGCGCGTACTGTATCCGATGTGCCGGGTATATCACTTGCGGCGGAGTATTGGCCGGGTCCGGGCTGTCGTATGGGGCCACGGTGGGAATCTGGCCGGCCGGCAGGTTAGGTTCATCAAGTAGATAATGATAGAGAGAGCCGTCCTCGGCACCAGTTGAGATAAGGTTACTGTGAATCGGGTGCCATGTCAAAGACGAAACAGGCTTGTCATGGCCTCGCAAAATGCAAATATCACGCATCATCCTCAAATCGAATACCCTCGCAGTCTGGTCTCGCGAAGAAGTAGCAAGGAGATTGTTGTTCACACGCGAGAATCGGGTCGACGTGACAGTGTTTTTGTGGCTGTGAAGGGTCGTCAACAAGTGACCGGTGCGCGGATCCCAGAACTTGACCTGGTGGTCCTTCGATCCAGAAACAATTAGACCCTTGGTCGGGTGCCAGTCGCAAGACTTGACATCCCAGTTGTGTCCGGTCAGTGTCATGTCAGCCGTGCGGGTTGCAAAGTCGAAAATTTTGAGGGTTGTATCATCGGATGCTGAAAGAAATTTGGTATCACTCGGTGCCCAGGCCAGATCGCGGACTGCGTCGTGGTGCGCATCATCGATCGTCTCGACATTGTTGAAGTTAGGCCGCCAGTATTTGATATCACCTCTTTGTCCACCAGAGACCAGCCAGTCCTGGCTATGGGCCCATGCTAAGGACGTGACACCAGCCTGTATTTGATCGTAGTGTGCCTGCACCGAGAGAACATTTCAGATTAGCAAAGACGCAACCCACAGATGCTGTAAATACGCACATCCATAACCGTCTCAAAATTGAACGCCGTTCCATTCCAAAGCATAAACTCTCCCGTGTGGCCGCCGGTCAACAGCCGCCTTCCCTCCGGAGTCCATCGTACCACGACGATAGGTTTCTTTGATTTTCCGATTGACTGGTGAAGGTGTCGCACGGGGATTGTATCGACTGCAGAAAAGGGCCGCGCCATCGGGGGAAGAACCTGTCGCAAATCAGTCTCTTTGTCAGGCCAGTATAGCTCAAGTGACACATACATCGACTGCGAAGCTGGGGCTCGGTCGTTCCTCCTCCAATCGATATCCTCCTTTGTATCTCGGTTGCCGTGTTCGCATCCATTGTACCATTGAAGAACCATAATCCGTGACGAGGCCTAAGAGTAGCGGTTGTCAGTCAGGCTATGAACAAGCAGAAGCTCAGTCGAAGTCACTTCAAAGCAAGTAAACATACGTGGTCTGCGAGGTCCGACTGGACCATCGAAATTCTTTCCAAATCGCCCTGGGCCATCGCCGCTATTCTCGTCGTAGTAGGCCATCGCGACCAGTTGAAGAGATATACAGGATCAAGGCTGTCGGTTCGCGAACATGAGGTTTCAAAGGAAATTGAGGTTTTAAATACGGATCGAATATTGAATCGGACGCTAAAATGAATAAAAGATGCGGAGAGAGTCGAAGCTCTTCGGGGCGCAGGATCCGTCCCTTGAGTACCTGTGGCGCTGATTGGCCCTGCGGGTTTTATCTGCAAGCTTGCCCAGCGCTATGATGTCTCTCCCCCCCCCGCCATAGTCTGTACTAAATCACCTTGTTTTGGTCTTTTTGTCATTTGTCTTCTTTTACTCTTCTTCTCTTCTTAACTATTCTAATTGTATATCCTGGTTGTTGATCTAATCTTCGCATTGCTCTCCGTCGGTGCTCCGGTTTAATCGGAGCTCGACTTCACCCTTCAATTTTTCGACGCTGCCGAGGTTTCCGAGCTGTTAAGATGGCTATTCGCACTGGAGCAATTACGAGTGCTCACGAGGAGTCGCAGCTCGATTCAACGAACGAGGTCCTCCAGAATATAACCGAGGTCTCTCCGCCATCAACTTCAACCCGAAAGAAACGCAGTAAATATCGCCATGTTGCTGCATATCATTCAGAACTTCGTCATTCCAGTCTCAGTCGGGAGGCCGACGTGCTCCCAAACTTCCTAGGGTTTCGAAATCTCATGGTGTTGGTACTTGGTAGGGATTGCTAGAGAATTGTATACATGTATGCAAACGGCTAATGTTCCGATAGTGGCGATGAACTTGCGATTGATTATTGAGAACTTCATGAAAGTGGGCAATCCAAATGCTCAATTACCGTTTTGAGTTGCCAGCTAATAAGCATATAGTATGGCGTGTTAATTTGTATTAAATGCCACGACTACCGCAGGCAAGACGTTGTTCTTGGGTCTATATTGTTTGCCTCGGTTCCATGTCATTTGCTCGTGGCATACATCATTGAGCTTTCAGCCGCTACTGCTGCCAAGAAGGCAGTGGGGCTTCAGAAGAAGACAGATAAAGAAAAGGAGCACGACCAGAAGGCTTTCCAGTCGACCTGGCCCTACACTGCTTTTCTACACACGCTTAATGCCACATTATGTCTCACAGTAACTAGCTATGTGGTTTATTTCCACATCCATCACCCAGGCATTGGGACAATATGCGAGATGCAAGCGATCATTGTGTGGTTGAAGAACTGCTCTTATGCCTTTACAAACCGAGACCTCCGTCTCGCTCTACTCAATCCCTCCGCAGACCCAGGCTTGCCTGAAATCTATTCCTCGTGCCCCTACCCAAAGAATATTACCATCAATAACCTGGCGTACTTCTGGCTGGCGCCGACGCTGGTGTATCAACCCGTTTATCCGCGCACAGCATCAATACGGTGGTCATTTGTTGCAAAACGCATTGCAGAGTTCGTGAGCCTAGCAATGTTCATTTGGCTTCTGTCTGCGCAGTATGCCGCACCAGTGTTGCGGAACTCGATTGACAAGATCGCAGTGATGGACATTGCCTCCATTTTGGAGCGGGTGATGAAGCTGTCCACTATCTCGCTGATTATCTGGCTTGCCGGCTTCTTTGCGTTGTTCCAATCTTTTTTGAACGCCTTGGCCGAAGTCATGAGATTCGGTGACCGCGAGTTCTACACCGACTGGTGGAACAGCTCCAGTCTGGGTGCTTATTGGCGATCTTGGAACCGGCCTGTCTACCTGTTCATGAAGAGACATGTCTACTCACCGCTGGTTGGTCGTGGATGGAGTCCTCTAGCTGCGAGTGGAATGGTTTTCACTCTCTCTGCCATTCTTCACGAAATGCTCGTGGGCATTCCCACACATAATTTCATTGGTATGTCTTTCACTCTCCAATCACATCTCAAAGGCTAATCGAGTTCAGGTGTCGCGTTCTTTGGAATGATGTTCCAACTGCCGTTAATTAGCCTCACTGCACCGTTGGATAAAATGCGCGGGCCCGAAGGCAGGATCATCGGGAATTGCATCTTCTGGGTCAGCTTTTGTCTAGTCGGACAACCGCTTGGGGCGCTCCTGTACTTCTTTGCTTGGCAGGCCAAGTACGGGAGTGTAAGTAAGATGGTGCCGAACGTGGGAGCATGAAATTTTTTCAACATTTAGCAATTTTGTGTATCGCATTTTTGTTGACATATACCGGGATTTGTAGCTCCTGAACATTTATTCGTAAATGCTAGAAAACACCCCTTGGATAACCTCAGAATGGTTTATTTTGCCTTATAGTACTGTCAACCTTATGGCAAACGAGCTTTGAACAAAATGAAGAGTGTAATGGAAAATGGCCTGATGTCATGAGGTCAATAACTCTGAAAGGCCACTTAAGCGACTATATTCAGTCATGACTCGGACTAACCTTGAAAGCCCCGGAAGGAACGGCCAAATTGATTGTACCGACGGAGACTCGGAGCCTATGGCCCCCGCAATCTCCAACATACATCACCTTCCATATGTTCTTACCCACTCCACTTTTTATGGCTTCCTCACCAAATATATATATCTACTATATACTACACTACACCACCATTTTTTGGTTCAATTAATTCAATTAAAAAATATGAGTAAGCTGAATATCCGCACAATGAATTCCTCGCTTAATATTTTGTATAATAACCCTTGGCTCTCCGTACTGCCTTTAAACGTCTTCCCATACTCAATATCAATGCATCTATCTTAGATTGATCTAATGCATCCCATGCTTCGCCTAGGCATTTTTTAAAATAAAGCCAATCAGTCTCACTTCTTCCCATACTAATAAGCTCTGGAAAAAGTGCAAAAAGCTTCACTTTTAACCAGCGCCATACTGGTTCAATCGGGTTTAAATCAGGTGAGTGTGCGGGCCAGTCCTCGATATATATCCCGTGGGATTCAAACCACTCTCGCGTCACCAATGCTGTATGAATCCTTGCGTTATCTTGCTGAAATACTAAACCGGGTATATAGACTGGTAACAGCCCTTTTTCAAGCGCTTTAATATATGAATTTGCAGTGTAACCTCGACCAGAAGGTGAGTCCTCGTCCCGTTCCATAATAACTAATTTTGTTCGACCACCAAGCCAGATTCTAGCCCAAACCATTTGTGAAATATCTTTAACGTGAACCTTCGCATTTACAAGTTCTTTTTTAAGGCCCTCCGAGGTTGTACGGAAGCACCATTGTGGTCCAAAGTTCGAGGTTCGTTGCACCGAACACTCGTCCGAAAAGATCCACGATTGAAAGCTCTCCCGGCGCCATTTCCTTGCGAATCTAAGCCTCTTTATTGCAAGAGAGGGCTTAATTGGTATCTTCTGTCTCGATCGGCGTTTTCTGACTCCGTATCGCTTTAAAATTCGACGTATAGTGGAGGGTGATAGATGCTGAACTATAGTAGCACTTAGCTGTTTATAGGTCCAAAACGGATGCCGGCGGGCCTGTAAAAGAATTTGATGACAAGCTCGTTCAGTAAGCATAGGGGTACGGCCAGTTTTCTCACGATTCTCCAATTTTCCATCCTCTGTGTAGCGTTTAATTGTATTGAAAATAGTCTTGCGGGTACAGCCAAAATCATTGGCTAATTGAACCTGCGTAGCACCATTGCTGTATGCATATACAATAGCCGCTCTTTGCTCAGTAGAGAGCTGTGCCGATTTGCTATTTTTTGATCCTATTTTCATTAGATTTGAAGCAGTGTGGGTGGTGTAGGAGGAGAAAAAAAAAACATGGGTTGGTTGCCGGGTCAAATTGTAAGTGGGGCAGTGGGTAAGAACATATGACTAGTATGTGTATAAGGGTCAGGATCAGCCAAAATCACAACACAAAGCCACCGTTTCACATCATTTCCCCATATTCTCTTCTCATCATGGTCGCATTCATTGTTCCTAGCAACTACGGGTAGGTCCTGATCCCCCCAAGCTTCCCTGAAATTAACTAACATCATTTCTCAGCGCCGTCATTGGCGTCGCCCTCGGTGCCATCCCCGTCTTGGGCTTCGTTCACGGTACCATCACCGGCGGCCTGCGCAAGGATGCCAAGGTTCCCTACCCTCACAGCTATGCCTCCATGGAGCTATGCAAGGAAAACGTACGTCTAATTCCTTATCTATCGTCTGACCTTCGCAACCCCTCGTATTGAATGGAAATAATTGTATTTGTTATTTCAGTACTGAATGGCATCCACTAAACTAATTATAGGCCAAAGCCGAGAAGTTCAACTGCGCTCAGCGCGCTCACACTAATTTCCTCGAGAATGCGCCGCAGACCATGCTCTTCACCTTGGTCGCCGGTCTGAAGTACCCCGAATGGGCTGCCGGCCTGGGTGCTCTGTGGGTTTTGTTCCGCATTATGTTCCTCTACGGCTATGTGTACTCGGGCAAGCCGCAGGGTCAGGGCCGTCTGGTGGGCTCGTTCTTCTGGCTTGTACAGGCTGGTCTCTGGGGACTGAGTGTCTTCGGTGTTGGACGGGCCCTGCTTTGAATTTTTCTAAGAGTCTGAAGCTTGAAGCACTCTTAAAATGTTTGGAATTGAAGTGTAATATGTATTTCTATGTCAAATGCAGCATATCGTGCGCCACAGTTCCAGCCTCGTAGGACCCACTGTGGCAGAAAAAGTTCCCCGATAGTCTTCGATTTGAATTTCTATTATTTCGCTTTTGAACCTCAAAAAGACAATTATATCCTAGAGAAATCCGTCATTTGATTAACCTCAATCCTCTTGAAACCATAGAAAAACATACCAAATACATAACAACCGCCTCTTCAGCCCAATCCCGCCATGTCGTCCAAGTCGCAATTGACCTACAGCGCTCGCGCTCAATCGCACCCCAATCCCCTCGCACGCAAGCTTTTCCAAGTCGCCGAAGAGAAGAAGAGCAACGTTACCGTCTCTGCTGACGTGACCACAACAAAGGAGCTCCTGGACCTCGCCGACCGTAAGTGAACTCAGCCTACCCCACCCCTCCAACGAAACAACCCACTAACCTATACACAGGCCTTGGCCCTTACATCGCCGTGATCAAAACACACATCGATATCCTCTCCGACTTCAGCCAAGCAACAATCGACGGCCTGAATGCCCTCGCCCAAAAGCACAACTTCCTCATCTTCGAAGACCGCAAATTCATCGACATCGGCAACACAGTCCAGAAACAATACCACAACGGCACCCTCCGCATCTCCGAATGGGCCCACATTATCAACTGCTCCGTCCTACCCGGCGAGGGCATCGTTGAGGCCCTCGCGCAAACCGCGCAGGCCACCGACTTCCCCTACGGTTCCGAGCGCGGCCTCCTCATCCTCGCCGAGATGACCTCGAAGGGATCTCTCGCAACCGGCGCCTACACCTCCGCCTCCGTCGACATCGCGCGCAAGTACCCTAGCTTTGTGCTGGGCTTTGTCTCGACCCGCTCTCTGGGCGAGGTTGAATCTACTGAGGCCCCCACACAGGGCGAGGACTTCGTCGTCTTCACCACTGGCGTCAACCTCTCTTCTAAGGGCGATAAGCTCGGCCAGCAGTACCAGACGCCACAGTCGGCTATTGGCCGTGGTGCGGACTTTATTATCTCTGGTCGTGGTATCTATGCCGCTGCGGACCCTGTTGAGGCCGCCAAGCAGTACCAGCAGCAGGGCTGGGAGGCGTATCTGGCCCGCGTGGGCGCACAATAGAATGTGCAGTCCACGTTCCACTTTAGACACATGCGTGGTGATGCATAATGAAAATTCTATATTTGATGGCGTGCAACATAACCTTTTTGCAGATTCCTTTCTTACATCATGGTTGTCCGTGAGTCTCTCCAGGGCTACGTAAGAACATTTCCATATATACAAACGATGCAAGGGACTTTGCATGTGGTCCAAGCTCAAGTCCAACCATATATGCAAGAGCTCCGCAAACAGCGAATCTCTCCAGGGCCGAGTATCCGCATATTTGGAGTAGTTTTGATAAGGAAGCCTTCTCCAAACTTGGAATACCACCTAGAACAACAGATAAGAGCGGTACTTTTGCTTCAACTTCGGAACCTTCCCGTGGGGGTAACTAGCAGTGTAAGCATCTCTATAATTTTGTACATCGTGGTATCATATTCTTGACGTAACTCCCCTATACCTGCATGTACATCTTCACGCGTGCTATGATCTGTCGAATCCCACACCGACAAGCACGTAGCCATATGTTATACGTCGATATGTCACGGATATTAATAAATAAACATAATGCCCAGCCAAAAGACCAGGGTCGTTCCCTCTTTCACGCTGATCATTCCCCTCATCCCCCTCTCTTGGCCATCCAATAAGACACATCACAACCCGCCAACCCCAGATAAATATGCTTCTTATCGTGGAGAGACCCACAATATACTTGCCGAGCTGCATTTGCTGCGTTGCTTGATAGGAGGAGTGATGAGGACACTGCATCTCTCGAGATAACGGCAGGCATGTGCTGTGTAGCGCAGCTACCCAGTTTTGCTCAGACAGGGTACAGGGTATAATAACCTACTTAGTGTTTAGTGTTAAGATCGTCTTATAGAGTTACCGGACGTGCGGAGTTCTCACCGTTATTCAGTCTTACATTATTTAGCTGTGTCCGCCCGGTTGTAGTTCTCCCTTTTGGTCACTTTTTATACACTGCCTCGGGATTGCTTACAGTTGCATTCCCGCTAACTCGGAGAGAGCTTAATTGTGCTCTGTGTGACCTTGCCTGCTCTTAATTACTCTTTTGCCTGTTATTTTACGCTCTACGCTGTAGAGCTAACACTATGGCATCAGAAGAAAAATCCATCGGCATTTCCTCTAGCGTGGACACTGGTACCGACTTGGGCACGATAAAGCATGTTGACCCCGCGTTAGAGAAGCATGCACACGATGCCGATGAGGCTCTGAAGGCCTTTGGCGATCTCCATGGTGAGACTATTGAGCTAGACGAAGCTACGAATCGTCGCTTGTTACGCATTATTGATTGGCATATGATGCCCATCATGTGCTTTATCTATGGCATGAATTATCTCGACAGTACGTGCATACCTTTCCTCGATTTGTTTTCAAATGGAGCAAAGCAAGAGCGACCTTTGTTTATGCTTTGTTCTATTGGTTGTTTATTTGAAACAAAATGTTAATCTGTGATCTGATGTATAGAAACTACCCTCTCCTATGCCAGTGTTATGGGCATTAAGGAGGATCTGAATCTTGAGGGAGACCAGTATCAGTGGCTTGGGAGTCTGTTTTACTTTGGTATGTACCATCATTGCCTTGTCCTTCGATTGATTTTGTCCGGTGGCATTTAACTTAATAGTTTTTCTGTGTAGGTTATCTTGCCTGGGAATACCCGACCAACCGCCTCCTCCAGCGCCTCCCACTAGGAAAATATTCTGCAGCGTGCATCTTGATCTGGGGATTGATTCTCAGCTGTTTTGCCGCTGTCAATAGCTACCCCGGTGCTATCGCTATCCGCTTTATGCTCGGTGTATTCGAAGCAGCTGTAACACCAGGCTTTGCACTTTTAACTTCCCAGGTAGGAAGACAACCCTCTTGCTCCAAACCAATGATCATCCACTGTGGGCGATGTGCAATGAGTCGAGCTAACGTAGCCCTGAACAGTGGTATACAAAACAAGAACAAGGCAGCCGTGTCAACATCTGGTTCAGCTTCAACGGCGTGGGCCAGATCTTCGGCGGAGTAGTCGCCTACGGCATCGCTATCGGCACCGAGAAACACGGGTCATCTATCGAACCATGGAAGATTGTTTTCCTCGTCACTGGCCTCCTCACTATCTGCCTGGGACTTGTGTTCCTCTGGATTGTGCCGGATAACCAACTCAATGCACGCTGGTTAAATGAAGAAGATCGCGTCTTGGCTGTTGCCCGTGTGCGGGTCAATCAGCAGGGCATTGGAAATAAGCACTTCAAGCTATATCAGGTCAAGGAGGCGCTTTTGGATCCGATGACCTGGGCTTTCTTCTTTTATGCTTTGATTGCTGATATTCCGAATGGGGGTATTAGCAATTTCTTCAATCAGCTGGTATGTTTAGCTCATTCAAGACTTGGATATTCCAACGCTGATGATTAGTCCAGATTACGAGCTTCGGATATACCAAAGAAGAGAGTCTAATTCTGGGTGTCCCCGGTGGCGCAGTGGAAATCGGTGCACTGTTGCTCAACGGCTATGTCGGGCATATCACCGGACAGCGCGTCCTCGCCAGTTTGGGTGGGCTAGTCGCTGCAATCCTGGGAATGCTGCTTATTGTTGCTCTGCCCCTATCCAACAACGTGGGTCGCTTGATTGGTTACTACCTCACACAGGCCAGCCCGACACCTTTCGTGGCATTGCTATCGCTAATTTCTTCCAATGTCGCGGGATATACTAAAAAGACGACTGTGGCGGCTTTGTATCTGATTGGATATTGTGTTGGAAATATTATTGGTGAGTGTGAAGAAAATAATGAAGATCGAGAACACGCTAACACAACTAGGCCCACAAACCTTCCGCCCAGGGGACGCCCCCCGCTACATCCCCGCTGAGGTGACAATCATTGTCTGTTGGGGTGTGTGTTTATTCCTGTTGGTTGGGGTCTGGATGTGGTATCGCCACGAAAACCAGAAGAAGATCCTTTTCATTGCTCGACCAGAGTATGTCAGACTAGAGAACCAAGAGTGAGTGATTTATGATGCGTTTACATTTACTCCTTATTGCTCCTTACTGCTCCTTACTAGCTATTTTTTGGCTAACTTTTACTGCAGGTGGCTTGACTTGACAGATCGGGAGAATCCCGAGTTCATGTATTCTCTTTAAATTATAACGTTGAAGACTGTTATTAAACAAATGCATTTGATTTGGTCTGAAATTTCTACTAAATATGAAAATACATGTTTTTCCCACTATGTGTGTCATTTTGTAGATCCCATTGAGGGTTTTATCGGTGTCTCCAACAGACATGCAGGGTATAATGCCTAGCATAGGCTAGTGCAGTTCATGTTAGTCTAGCGTATTCAGTGTGACCTCTATCATTTACCGAACATGATCCTCTAGGGTTTTTGCATCATATGGCTATATAATATGAATATTTAATTCCTATATATACACATCTATACGGAGTAATAGTTCTATTATTATTAGACCCACGAACTATAAATTACCATGTATGCATGACTTCGTACCCCATACACAATAAAGCCCCTGCATTCGTAAACGCCTTCATAGGACGATCATGGCCAGACACTCTAGACGCCCCCCCCCCACTCCGCTAAAATAGATGAGGAGCGGTGTGTGCATATGGGAATAATAAAAGGAAAGAAGATTGGTGAAAAGTTTCAGTCTACAATTTTTTTTTTTTTGGTTTCATCATTTGGCTTCCTATGTCTTCAAGATGGAGTTGACCTCTTCCAACATATATTAACCCTAATCTTATTATGAACTTTGCCTCCATCTGATCAGGGCACCTGCCTCTAATTGCCTATGATCAAAGTTTCCCACTGACGGAAATGGTCTCCGTCACATGTCTGGCTGTTCAGCCATCTTTGGCTATTTCTAAGTGCGAGCCCATTATCACTGAGCTCAAGGGATGCGACTCTATATCCCCAGTTGAGATGGTCAAGGCCAAAGGGGTTGATCCACCAGGAAATATGTCCAAATCATCAGCTCGTCGAGAATCGCAAACATCGACTACTTCGATCAGCCACTCTCGCTCGGCCTCGACATCCCGCGGCACTGTGCGATCGCGACCCAATAGCCGTCGCAGCTCTTTCCATTCCCCGCGTCGGGCTGTGCCCAACGCCGCTATTGTGCCTGTCACATCACCACGCAGTTCCACGCAGGACAAGCGTGAGTCATTACTAGCACTACATCGGGAGTCATGTCGTCTGTTTCAAGAAGGTGCATCAAACAGATCCTCGACAGAGACAAGGCCTTCTCTGCACCGGACAGCATCAGCTACATATAGATCTCAGCGCGAGAGCCGCGCATCAACAGATAAAGGCAACTCGGCACCCTCGTCCCCAATCACACCTTCATATTCTAGCTTCCGCTTTGAGAAAGAGTATACTTCACCTACCTCGACGGGCGCATCACACGGCGTCAATTCAAGAAATCGATCAAACACATTACCCACATCCAACCACCATCACAGCCCCTCGTCCTCGTCCATTCATGTCCCGGCGACAGTAATGGAATGGACCTCACCCGATACCCGGAGGCGTGAGTACGAGAAAATCGACCGCGCAAGCAGTGGTGTTCGCGGACTCTGGCGCCGCGTCGCGCCTCGCTGCTTCCTGCCCCGCGACTCGCGCACTCCGTTCTTCGAGGAAGGCAAACCTGAGCGCGAAGGCAGTGTGCGTCGGTTCCGTATGGATCTCCCTGAAGATGAGGAGCCAGAATCGGATTCTCCTCGAGGAAAGTCGCAAATCCAGCTCTTCGATGTCCTGAGCAAGATCTCGACCTCCAACTCGAATTCAAATTCTCCTGATGGCGCTCGAAGACGCTGGAAATGTCTTCGTTCGAAGTCTGCTCCTATTCCTAATTCCTGAATTCCTGGTTACGATTTTGATTCTCAATGTTTATCACTATCCCCTTGTCACCCACAGAGCCTAGCACAGGTGCTGCTCACAAAACTACACTACCTCACTGCTTTCCCTATGATACCATGATCCTCGAGTGATGATCTGCATTTGCATCCAGCGGTCCCTGGCCTTCAACAAGTCCCTTCTTGGTGGGACTTTCACCTGGCCTATTTTTATCTCTAGTCCCTTTTGCATTCGTTGCACCGCTGTCGTTTTTTGAAGACTGAGATACCCTTATTATTATTGAAACGCTACACATGGCCTCATACGATCCATACATATTTCGGCCCTAGTGATGCTATCTTTTGGCATAATCAACTCTCAACTCTATACAAATTTATGCAGTTACCAGTCTATGTGCTGTTGACTTGGAGTAGACAGACGAAGAAAAATTTCGAAAAATTTCGAAAATAACCATTGGCATACACAAGATTTGAAATTTTCAACTGGAAACCCCTCCAACTCTAGATGGACGATCGGGAGGGGAAACCACTGCCAGCACTTTACTCAACCGAGTGCCGGCAGCCATTTGCCCCAAATGCCGTATATCTGGATGCTTATTCGCTAGAGACCATGTACTAGTCATTCTTCGATTATCTGTGCACATGTCAGTTAATTAATGAAGGTTTTTCGGTTATCCGGCCTATCTCCTTTTAGTTGGTCATTCGAATGCTTAAGGAGATATCGTTTATAGACAAGCTTATTGGTGGATTTGTATTTCTACACGAGGCCGGTTTGCCGTAATTTAATACCACGAATGGTTGTTATTTGACTGTTTGGGAAGCGAGCAAGTATCCCTTCATAATATCATTCAAGTAGTCAGGCCCATTGAATCATTCCATGTGAACTAATAACAAGAAAGCAAAAGCAAGAGCGAAAAACCAGTTTTGGCATATGCATACTTCGTAGGGCAACCTGCGAAAGGTGTGGAGCCACTATAACAAGTACTTCAATGCCAGGCGAATCATTCTTGGTAGCTGAGGTCGGGGGGAAGCCGAACTTCTTTAACAATGAAGCCCTAAATGCTTACATATGCACAGCAGGTACTCTACGCTCTGCGTTTCTAGAGAATATAGGTAGTATTCATATCCATATTGAGTTATCCAGAGAATATTGGACATGAGATATCATTTCATGAAACATCAATACGCCAAACCTAAACAGGCCACAATGCACAAGCGCCGGGTATATCAGAACAAAAACCCAAAATGCTTTTTTTTTCAAGTCGATCACAGAAGATCAAAGTCATCCAGCTTCTCGCGGTAACGCAAGATGTTGCGCTTGATCTTACTGGAATCGACCCATGTGACGAAGTCCTCCATGTTGCGGGTAACCAAGAAAGCAGGATCATTGACAACTTCTGTACCAACACGGACATGGCCCTGCTCAATGAAAGTAGTAGCCTAGCAAAAAAAAAAAAGTCAGCATTCCATTGCATACACCCTAGACCAAGTCTCCATATTGCAACTTACAGCCTTGATCGTCTCGACCATGCCAGAGCGAACCATGAAGACAGCCAATCGGCGACGGCAAAGCGCAGAAACGGTCACCTCACGCTCGACTCTAGACAGACCGGCGCCCTGCTCGCGGGACTGCTTCAGGATTCCCATGCGCCACAGCTTCTCCAGCAGCTCGGATTCGAGCTTCTTGCGCAGCGGATCCGAATCAGGGTCAAGTTGAGAGAGCTTGTGTGCGAGCTGGCGCAGAGAACCACAGAGCGAGTTGTATTTGCGGTAGTCCATTGGGTCTTGGAGGAGGTATCGTTGGCGGATTTCATGTTCGCGGTGGTTGCCGTCCGACTTGTAGTTGTGGAAGTCGACCTTCCGGAGAAGCCTGCAGAGGATTTAGTGTTAGCCATTGATCTTTTATGGTATCGTGAAGCTTTGAAGATATTGGATGGGATCGGGCTGAGATTTCTGCGGGCGGAATTATAGGTGCGGACGTACTTCTTCTCGTGGTGCTTGAGTTCGCGGACCATTGCGGCGGTTATATCGGTTGGTTGATATTAAACCGAAAGATTGGTCAAAAGTGACTGAACAGAGCGAGCACGCTGTTTCTAGACAAAAGTCGCTGCGATAACAAAAAAATCAAGGCGGTCGATTTCTGCGGGTAGGTTTCCACACACCGCCCGCCTTTCCCCAGCCGTCAACACCGCTCCACGGCTAAATCTTATCAACATTGGTTGGTCTGAATTCGCAAAATGGAGAATACGGCTGATACAACAAGTAAGGTGTCAGGTCGTCCTAGGGTGGACCTGGAGCCGTACAAGGCCGAGGTCATCGGCCTGTTCGAAAAGAAAATGAAGAGTGACGACATTTGCAAGCACCTGAAGAGGCAGCATGATATTCAGATCTCATCGCGTACTCTATCCAAACGCCTACAGCTATGGGGTGTCAAGAAAAAGATGGAAAACAATTCCTCCAATGAAGCACTGCACGCCCGCATCAAAAACCTTTTCTTCGACGTCGGTCTAACCGACCAAGAGATCGTAACCGTTCTACACGACGAGGGCTACGATGTCTCCCACCGTACGCTCCGCAGACTCCGTCACCAGCTCGGCATTCGCCTCCGCCTTGACTCACCTACACAACAACAAGCACAGGTCCAGGAGATCCTCGATGCTCTGACCGAGGAAATGGACAAAGGGACCATTGAGGGATATGGGAAGGAACTACTGCACAATCACTTCCGAAGTAAGGGGTACGTCTTTGCCCGAGATCGCCTTTACAGTGTCTATCGCATGCTGCGTCCGGATACAGTGGAACGCCGCACGAGCGATATACCGCGACGTCCTCCCCCGCCAAAGATTCTAGCCGGGCCTAATTTAACCTGGCACGTGAATGGGTACTCAAAGCTAGCCAATTTTGGGTTCCGCATCCATGCCGAGCTCGATGCGTATTCTCGATATGTCCTTTGGATTCATGTTGGCGTAGATGCGCACACCGCTGTGGGCGTTCTCAAAAACCATCTTGAGACTGTTGCTTCTAAGAACCGCCAACCACGCACTCTTCGATCTGACCTCGAGTCCGAGGTTCCTCTTCTAGCCGATGCTCACTTTGCGCTCCGCCGTATCACTGAGCCCGATGTCCAGCGTGAGCAGTGCTGTGCACCCGGACGAGCTGCAGACACCCACCGAATTGAATCCTGGTGGGCCCAGCTTGCTAAATCAGTAGTAACACTATACCATGTTCGTCAACTTCCAAGTTTCACATGTTCCTCTCACATCCAATCGCAGAATACTGACCTCAACCAGAACTATTTCCGCGAACTTCACAACGAAGGCATCTTCTCATCAACAGTAATCCCCGAACAAGTCGCCCTCTTCGCAATCTACATGCCCACCCTCCGCTCCCACATCAAATCCTACGTCCAGACCTGGAACATGCACAACATTCGCAAACAAACAGACCACCCAGAGCGCACCCCCGGAAAACCCTATATGAACTATCATCACCCACCCAAGGGCGTAGAGAACTTCGGCCTCCCAGCCGACGTCCCGACGCTGCAGCTCATGCAACAAGATTACGTCGGCTACGATACAGAGCAATACCTACCGCCAGACACCCTGCATTGGTGTGAGGCGCAACTCCAGCAGCTGGGCTTCGATCCTCATAAACCGCCTGCTCGGATGCCTGGCGACCTCCAGCCATTCCGCTCAGTTTATTTGGCCCTGCGTGAGCGCGCGTGGCACCATGAACGATCGGGGGCTGAACCCAAACTGGCGGTTTGTGGACTTGCTAGTCAAGGCTTACGAGGTTATTTCCCCTCTGGGCCTGCACAGTAGATGTTCCAAAGTTGATGAATATTATGAATAATGAATGGAAGGTCTGGGGCTCGAATGCGCTATTTCTTAATGCAAGTATACCATTTTGCTACAATTAATATACCGGAATGATTTGTTTTTTCTATTCGCAAAGAGCGATTCAGCTGAATAAATTTCAAGTATCTCATTTACTACAATCTTAAATTTTTTTGGATGTAAGGTATGTAGAAGACTTCCGCTTGTATTCTGTTAATCACTTATTCCAGTCTCAAAGAACATGAAAAGAGGAGCCTAGAAACATGCCCTGTGAAAAAAAAAAAGATGCAGCATCACCATATCTCGTAATGGGGCATCAAACGTGAGATCGATAAATCATGAGAGCCCAGCGCCAGGCAGTATCAAAGCGAATCCCAGAAACCCCGCGAAGAAAGAGATCAAGGACTAGGAAGGCTAAGAACTAGGTCCTCCTGCAATTAGCCGGCTCCTGCCCGCAATCTTCTCACTCAAAGTCCTAATATTCTCCGCTCCCATAATATCGAGCAAAGAAACCTCAGCCTTAAGCTCCTTAACAATCCACGCCCGGAACTCCATAGCAACAAGGGAATCAATACCCCCAAAGCCGAAGCGCTGGGCATCAAGTTCCGAAGAGGGGACGGCAAGCAGAGAAGCAAGCCTCTCAACAATCCCATCCGAGACAACAGCCACAGCCCCCTCGAAGCCCGAAGCCGCCGACAGAAACGCAGCCGTGCTAACAGTCTTCTGCTGGGAGCCTACCTCATTGCTCTTGGCAGTCGTCGTGTTACGGAAGTGCGTGAACATCGAGTAATTTAGGTACGTAGGCAGCGGCACGCCGTTCTGCCGACACATCTCGGCAGTCGGCAAACCGAGGACGAGCTGTGAGCGCGATGACGCATTACCGCCGTCTTGCTGGCCGCGGACGAGGAAGTCGACTGTTGCGTGGACCTCTTCCTCGCGGAGAAGCTCGAATAAGGTGGCTGTGTGTGTGCGCATCGAGCTTCGGTTCTCGGCTACCCAGCCCACGTTGGATACACTTCCTAGGTTGATACTGGCTGCTTGCATGCCCTTTGAGACGCGGTATGCAGCGAGGGCGTCTTGGAAGGTATTTCCAGCAGCGTAGTTCGATTGTCCGCGGTTCCCGAAGATGCCTGCCACTGAGGACAGCATGATGAAGAAGTCCATGTTGTCCGGTAGGACTGTGTGCAGGTTCCAGGATCCTTGGACCTTGGGTCTGATGGCTGCTTGCCAGTCTTTGAAGGAGATTCCGGCGAAGGCACCGTCCTGGGAATATGTTAGTTAGTTGTTGTATATTTAGTAAATGAAGATGTGGGTACTTACTCGTAGGACCATAGATCCCTGAATGCATCCTTTGATAGGAGGTAGATGGGGGAAGGCGTCTTCGGACAATTGTTGCAGGCTGGAGAGATCAGCCACATCACAGATCAGCGAATGGACCTTGCATCCCATTTTGTCGAGATCGGCAATCAATTCCATCTTCTCTGGGCTCGAAGCTGATGAGCGGGAGAGGATAATCAGGCTCGTTGCGCCGCGAGATGCCATCCATCGTGCTAGGCTGCGACCCAAGCCGCCATAGCCACCAGCAAGAACGTACGAGGCATGTGGATCAAAGCGACATGGCCACATTGGTCGTGGGACCACAGGGACCATGTTCGACGGATTAGGTGCAATCACAACTTTTGCTGCTTCCCCGCTTTGAGCAGCTCGAACACCTTTGATCTGGGTAAAGTCCATGACAGTTGTCGTTCGGATTTGACCGATCTTACCTTCGGAATACAATCTCATTGCCTCGGTGAGCAGATGACGGACTGATTTTGGTCGATGTTGAGCTAGCAAAGGAATGTCGACGGTGTGAACGCTCACATTGCGAGGCAAAGAGGACAGCTCGACTGTGGTGTCAGCTCGTAGATCCGGATTTGACACATCAACAAATGCTCCGAATGGAGCAAGGCATGCCATTGATCCCCGGAGTGCCTCGCCGCTCAGTGCGTTGAAGACGACGTCAACCCCAGTATTGTGCGTGCACCGCATGATGCCCTTGACGAAGCTCTGGTCTCTTCTCGAGAAGATACGGTCTTGAGGGATATTATAGTCAGAGACAAGCAAATCACGTTCTTCGACCGTTGCCACAGTAGCGTAGATTGTAGCCCCGATCATCTGGGCATATTGAATAGCCGCTTGACTGATATCCGTTGCACTAGTATGGATGAGGATAGTGTGTTCGGGTGCCAGATGGGCTATCTCCTCGAGCCCTTGGATTGCTGTTGCGTAAGCCCAAGCCAAACCGGCTGCGACTTCGAAGGAGATGCCATCGGGGATTCTTGCAAGCTGAAGATGATCAGCTCGACCATATGTTCGGACGCAACCGCCCTTTTTGTCGCCCGAGATGTAAATGACTCTGTCACCCGGCGCTGGGCCTTCAACATCTGGCCCAACCTTGCTCACCACACCAGCAATCTCATTCGCGAGGCGGCCAGAGGAAACATCTGATGAGAGGCCAATTGCTCGAATTTCAATCATGGCCTCCGTGTATTTGTGCGGTTCTTCATGCTGTGTATCGATCACCCAGTGGTATTCCCCGGTGCTAACAGCAGCCTCCTGCAACTCAATGGGAGTATCATAATCGCCGAGGCATTCAAGCTGAGGAGCTTGCTGAGAGGACTGCGCAGCAAGGAACTGATCCGCGGCCTCCCACTCGTTCAAACGGCCAATGTGTATGAGACCATTCTGCAACTTGTACTCAGCGTGGCGATCATTCTCCGGCTTGCCTACAAATTGTCGCTTGACAATCTTGCTGACCGCTGCAGCAAGACTCTCTGGCGAAGCGTTCTCGGGATCCGCCTCTGTGAGAGTAACGATATTGGAGCCATCGGCATCCCGCTCCCAGCGCACTGTTCGGAGAAGACCGAGACTCATGCTTGCGTGTGGCTGCTCGAGTGGATTGGAAGTCACCCACAATAGGTTTTGGCACTCGCTGAGCATCTTCTTGAGTCTGTTGTACTCCAATTCATTCATATCAATCAAGTAACGAGACTCCAAGTCAATTAGCGAGATATAAAGTGCATCTGGCAAGATGGAATTTTCCACTTCAGCGGGCTCCTTAACAAGAACACTCGTGTATCCCAGTTCTGGCAGCAGTCCTTGAAGGTTCTCAATGACCTGTCCTGATTTTGATGCACCAAGCGTCAAGATAATCGCAGTGTTCGAAGTCTTCTCCTTGGGGGTTTCAATGGCAGAAGAAATCAGAATACTCTGCCATGTCAAATCTGAATCGTTCGAACTAGGATACTCGACATCAATTCCAGAGAATCCCGCTTTCAGCAGCAGAGGATTCCACTCTGTAGCTGGGATGTAGGGACACCACTGGCGACACGGCTCATCACCCAGCCACCACCCAGCAAGCTGACCGAAAACAAGTGGATACCAGAGGAAATCCTGTCGGATTCCTTCTTGCATGATGAGCTGGCCACCCGGCTTCAGTAGAGATCGCAGGTTCTGCAATGCATTATGCAGGTTTGCAGTGGCGTGGATGACATTTCCAGCGAATATCAGGTCATATGTTCCCAACTGAAGTCCCTGATCGACGGGGCTTCGCTCTATATTGAGTGACTGGAAGTTCATGATATCAGACCATGCTTGGAACCGCTGTTTTGCTTTCTCAAAGAAGCCAGATGAAATGTCCGTGAATGTATAGCTGGCAATGTTCCCTTTGCTCTTTGCCAGGTCTGGAGAAAGAACAGCCAGGACTTCAGCAGTGAAACTTCCGGTGCCACCACCAATCTCGAGGATATTCAGCTCGGAATGCTGGCGGCGGAGGAGAGACAAGTGGCTCTGTAGATGCTGCGGCAGGTTATACAAGTGGAGGCCTTCCTTGTAAACCTGTTCCATCACAGAGTCTTGACCGAACATGAGATCCAGCGGGTCAGTCTCCTGGCGCACAACTTTGGCAATATTGCGGCCCATTCGGGCTGTGATAGCACCTTCGGCGCTGTGAGCCTCAATTTCTTTGCCAATGGCCTCCTTCAGAAACCCGTCTTGGCAAGCCTCTTGGAATTCACTGTAGGGGAGATGGATTATTTCACTGCGCTCGAGCATCCCTTTCATATGCTCCATCCAGTCAAAGAACCTTTGCACATGCAAATCGAGTTTCATAACATCGATGTCCTTGAGCTCGTCCAGTGCATCCATGACATAGAGCATCGTTGCAAGCTGAAGACGCTTCACCCAGTACAGGGCCTCAGCTTCATCAGTAACGTCGAGAGAAGTCAGTGTACAGGCGGATTTTGAGTCGAGGAAATGGACGTCAGGCTTGTATTCAATCGCGCTGCACAATTTTCGCTCCCTAATTTCAGCAAGGCCAGACTCCAGTGGAGTGAGCTCGATACCTTCCATGCGGATGCGATGTATTTTTGTTCCCTCATCCAGCATTTGTATTTGGCCCTCGAATTTATCAGATCCCGCCATAGACACGGTTGCATGTCCCGTGAATTTGTGGCTTGGGGCTGAATTCAGATTCGCTGAAACCCAGACGTCGCGTATGAAGGTTGGCAATCTGATCTGATCCAAGGTAGATTTGCTGGTAAAGTCAAGAACAGCCGCGATCATCAAGTGGATCATGCTGTCCATTGTGGCAGGGTGGATTAGATGAGAATGTAGATACTGCTTTGGCATAGACTGTGCAATGTCCGGAACAGTCACTGATCCAACAACTTTACCAAGCCCACGCCCACTTGCACGAACGTCTGCGAGGTTTCGGAACAAAGGACCGAAATTGAGGCCGGATGTTTGGAGGTTGTTATATGTGGATTTGAAGGCCATGGATTTGGTGCATGTCTCATTTGCGCAGGAAAGTTCGGATTCCTGTGCTCGGCTCTCTTCTTCTGCTTCGCGGCCATTGTCCACTGGATCAGAAGCTGTTTCATAGTCGGTAGTAATGTGACCAGTGCAATGCTCTGTCCACTCGTCGCTCGATGCATTGTAGGAAGTTATCTGGAACCGCCGCCACGTTCGCGGTGACACTGAGGAGTCTTCGGCATTTGCCATTGCCAAGGAGACTTCAATTCCTTCCTTGGTATCGGGTACAATCAAGGCTCTTCGGATATTGACTTTTCGTAGTTGGAAACCAGTGATCTTTGCCTCGCCGGCTAACTGCCGTGATGCTTCGATTGCCATAATCAGATATCCCACCCCAGGATAGACATAGTTACCAGTGACCTACTTCGATTTAGTAAACAAAGCTATCTTGTAGGCAATCTTGGACTCACCATATGATCCCTTAGCCAGGGATTCTCGTTCAATCGGACGAATTGTCTCCATCTGGGAGCAGTAGCATTCCAATCCGTAATCGGTGCACCAAAGAGGTCATGACGAGGGAATTTTCGAGTTCGAAGATTCTTGCTCAGTCGGCTCTCGAATAGAATCTTCTCAGTATGCTTGAAGCTGTACGGTGGCAGGTCCACCAACAGTCTGGGCCGCCTTTTCGCCTTCGAGTGAGAAGCTTGGTTCACAGCATGGAAATCTAATTCACATCCACTTGAAGCTAGGAAACCTACTGTAGTGAGTATAGTGTTGAGGCTATGATCTGTCCGTTGAAGAACGGCCAGATACTTGAATTCTAACTTGGGGCTCTCCGAGGCCAGTGTTTCCTTGATAGCACTTTGCAGGGTTGAGTGAGGCCCTATTTCCACAAGAAGGCGCAAATAATCCGTGGAATTGGTTGAGTCGCGGCTGGAAATTGAACTTGAAGTCATTGCAACCAAGCCGCTTGTGAAAAGAACAGGGGAAACCATATTATCCACCCAGTATTGGGCAGGCAGATGCTCCTCTGTGACTTGCTGTCCTGTGACAGTGGAAAACATATGCACTTGATGTGGAGCTGCGAGCCGCCTTCCATAAGGAAGCGTCCCCATCAGACGAAGGTAATCCTGGGCAATCGCATGCATATGGGCCGAGTGATAAGCATTCTTGACGTTCAACTTTCGAGCAAAGATGTCATCAGCATCGAGAAGTTCCTTGAGGCGGTCAATCATAGCGTCGTCTCCAGATACAGTGTTGTTCTTGGGGCTGTTTTGGCAGGCTATAATGAGCTCCCCGGTGTTATTCTTCCTCACAGATTCCAGATAGGGCTGCAGTTGTGTTGCACCCAGACCCACAGCCATCATTGCTCCGTTTGCTGAAAGCTGCTTGGATGATACGTATCCACGGTAGTATGCAACCTTCCAGGCGCCTTCGCGGCATAGTTTGCCAGAGCAGTAAGCGGCAGCTATCTCGCCGGATGAGTGACCCGTTACATGTTTTGGGAAGACTTTCCAACTGGCCAAGAGATCGACGAGTGCAATTTGCAAAACTGTGCACAATGGATGAGCGATCTCGGGCAAGTTAACTCGAGGTGACTGTCTTTCAGTCAAGAGCTCGTCTGTAATACGTTAGCCGAGCACATTCGGACAAAACAGGCAATATTAATACCTAGTAGTGACCAAGGACTACCTAGCCTGCGAATATACTCCGATGCTTCCTCCACAGACTCTTTGAAAACGGGATAGACCATGAGCTCTCGGCCCATGGCCTGGTATTGAGCACCTTGGCCAGTGAAAATAAATTCAACCTCTGGTACTCTGGTGGTTCTGGTTGGCTTGGTGAAATTTGATTCCGACAGGTTCCATGCAAGTTCTTTAGCCGAAGATGCCATGACGGAACTTTTCCAGGGGAACTGGGATCGTTTCTTCGACAGGGTAAAAGAGAGATCATCAAGAAGATGGTCATGGAGAACCGACTGTGTCATTCTCCGGTTCAAGTACTTGGCAAATTCAGCTGCATTCCGCTTGACGCCATCTTCGTCAAAAGCTGAGAGCAAGAATAACTTCGGTTTCTCAACCAAAGTGGTGTATGTTGCTGATGTGAATGTAGGTGATGCACCAAAACCATCGCTTGTGGGCGTGTTGATAAAGGTACTGCCATTTCCAGAGTGATCACTGTCATCAAATGACTCAGTCCCGAGATCATTTGATTCTGTTCCTGATCGGGATAGAGCTGAGAGCCGGCTCTTGAGTTTCTGGGTGGTGGGAACAGTAGATGTGGTGCGGTGGGCACTTGTAAGACGGCGGTCGTTGAGATAGTGATAAGCATCATCAAGAATACAGTGGGCATTGGTGCCACCAATTCCAAATGAGTTAACCGATACTCTTCGCAGTCCTGATGATGGCCATGGAAGGGCTTCGGTAGGGAATTCAATGTCCCAATCCGCTGCGAGAATAGAGGGATTTGTCTTCTTCATATCAAAGTTTGCAGGTATGATCCCAGACTCAAGGACTAGAATGGATTTGATGATGCTTGCCACACCTGAGCCACCTTCCAAATGCCCAATGGAAGATTTGATGGCTCCGACATAAAGCGGAGTCTCTCTGCGACATTTGAATGCTCTTGCGAGAGCACCCGCTTCAATTGGGTCACCGGTGCTTGTGCCCGTTCCGTGGGCTTCAACAAATCTTGTCTGTTCAAGCTCCAGGCCGGCTCTCCAGTAAACCTCACGAATTAATCTTTCTTGGGCATCTGCGCTGGGAACCGTGATACCTGGTGTGCGGCCATCCTGGTTGACTCCGGTCTCCCGAATAACCGCACGAATGGTATCTCCATCTCTGATGGCGACACTCAAAGGCTTCACTACAACTGTGCCTACACCTTCGCCTCGTGCATAGCCTTCGGCACGTGAGTCAAAGCTAAAAGACCGCCCTTGAGGTCCCAACAAACCATGGTGGCTCATACCGATAGTTTCCACAGGATTCTCAAGAATACCCACACCACTGACAACAGCCTGAATCATTATTAGTATACTAGCATGAGATATATCAATGTCAACACAGATAGCGTACCATGTTCGTCTCTCTGGCACGTAAGCTTTGTACAGCAAGATGCAGCGCCACCAAGCTGCTGGAACAAGCCGTGTCAATGGTCATGCTAGGTCCTTTGAAGTCAAAGAACCAGCTAACGCGGTTTGACAGAATGGCATTTGTAACACCTGTGGGCTTGTACTTTAAAGTTGTTTCTGGGTCTGAATTGAGGATACCCAGGTAGTCATGGTTGAATCCACTGACAAAAACCGATGTATTGGAGCCAACAGCACTGGTCAATGGAATACCTGCATTTTCCAAGGCGTGGTAGACATTTTCCAGTACCAGCCGCTGCTGCGGATCCAATGTCAGGAGCTCATTCTTGGTGATGTTAAAGAATGAACCATCGAAGTAAGCAGGGTCCTCTGAGAGGTAGTGGCCTCCTTGGACATGAAACTATAGAAAGATAAGAGTTAATCAATTATCTTCCATGGCGATTATGGTTTATATAGCTCAAATATGACTTACTGTCCCACCATGCTCGGGATCCGGGTGATAGAAGGCGTCTGAATTGAAACGTTCTTTAGGTATCGATGACCACGTCGACCGGGCCTGTAGGAGAAGCTCCCACAGACTCTCAGTGGTTGTTGCTTGCTGCGGAAATCGGGTAGCGAGGCCAACAATCGCAATGGGTTCCAAAGCATCAGGAGGTATGACTCCATTGCCGCTGGAGCCACTTGCCAGCGAGAGAGGACGCATCTTCCGATACCAGTAAGGGATTGTTGATAAGCCAATGGATCTGGATCTAGAAAGGATGAATGGTATGTGAAGGAGAAGGTATGAAGCGGAGGTATCAAGAAGAAGGTCTGAAAACTGGAAGAGAAAGGACGGGGGCAGGAAGAGCGAGGATATATGATAATCGAGGATTGAGACAGGCTGAGGATTTTGATAGCAAATAATACTCCGTACCTCCTCTTCATATATCGACCTCGACGTGCTATCAAAGGGGCGGGATTAGCAAAGACGCTAAAATCATTTGGAATCCGAGGTTGGCAGTCTAGCCAGTAAACAGGAATATTTCTACTGATCTTCACGAGTTCCCATTTCCGGTTGCGTTCATTGAAAAGTGGATAGTAGCTCGTTGGTACATTGGGAATGTCAAGGGCTTCTAGGGTTGTTATTCCTGTAGGTAGTTGGTACGTACTTTCAACAGTGAACAGTAAATCTATACAATCTGCAGGAATGATTGGCCTACACGTGGTCATTTGAAAGTTATGGTGTATTCACACGGTTCAGGTAATAATCTTCTGAGTGGACCTCTGGACTCGTTGTCAAATCAAAAAATCAGGAATTTTCGAATATCATGGGGGTTTCATATGCTATAATGCTAGTAATAATGGGGGTATATTGATATTTCTAGATGTAGATGGCGACATATATCAAAACGTTATACAAAACTATACAAAATACCGAACCAACAGGTCGGATGCAAGGCTATCATTTCCGAGACGCCAGGCCTGCGGGGGGATGCATTGCCGTTGCTAGAACCTGCAGCCCAACGTTTGTCGATCGCTGTCAAATTCGGCCTTTTAAATTTCTTTTGCGCTCAAATGTTAGAATATGCACTGCTGATTGGTTACTACGACTCCAATAATCCAACTTCCCATTCGTCTGTTTGCCCTAGAAACTTCCGTAGAATACTGTTTGAATCATAACAACCGTCTTATTTTCCTAGATTTCTGCAGAAGATCCACTCCGGGGTAATATGGACTTCTAACTTATGTAAAATTCATTGTTATAGTGAAGCAGGTTCATCCATGCAAAAAGCTGTACGGTTATTCGTTACTGAAAAAGCAAGATGGGTATAAGTTGATGAATCATATTTACTTTCAGTATAGCACAACCCTGCTAGAAATACATACCCTTGAAAATTGTGGAAATATTAGACTAAACAATTGAAGCATCACATAGTAAACCCATTCAATGGTGATACTATTAAATCATAAAAACCGCCTCAGTTTCACACCGTAATCCGCAATAACCGATCTATCTGTTTGATCTCTCTGGGGCTTTACCGGTTAAGGAAAGAGACAACATCCAGCATCGTGCCTAAGGGCGCTTTCATATTTTAGCAGCTCCACAAATGCCGCTATCAAAGCAATCCCCGTAGCTTTCTTTGATGCACCACGCACCCTACACGCCACGAAAGGCGCTACCACGTACATGGATCTATATGACGGCGCAATTGACAAATCCTTTTTCCAACAAATAGCAGCTCGTACTTCATATACGCCACCTCAAATCTTCGATGGCGCTATGACACTATCGCCCCTCCGGAAAGCAACCCAACTCTGTCCGACCTGGATTCCAGCTCCGCGTGCCCTTGGCCCATCCCCAAAGTCTGTTTATAGCTGCATCTAAGCCCGGCCTCCTTAACGTGGACCGTATACACTGGCTTGTTTTTCAATCTAGGTGGCGTTTCCCAAAATCATGGACAGTGCAGCGGCTTAAACATGCGACGCCCGGCATACGCTAGAACTGCGGTTTGGGATACGCTACGATTCAGGGAAATCATTTCCCGGCCAGATGGCCCTATCAAATGGTGCGAATTGTACATTGTACTCTGATCTACATCATCGGCAAGTCCTGTATATCCTTGAGTAGTTCACGCGACGTGTAGTGGCTTTGTCCATGCTTGCCCATATTGCATTGGGCATCGGTTGGAATCTCCGGGTTTGTGTCTGATTTTTAGGGGTATTTGCTTCCTAATTCAGGATGTACATACAACATAGTTTACGAAGAAATCCAATCATTTCAACTTTGACTTAACGGGTGAAACTGTGACAGAATGATTGCACTATATTTCTACCCCAGGCCCGCTTGGGGTGTATCCAAGGAGTGGGCACAACCTAGTAGGGATATATGGATATTCACTCAGGGATCTAGGATCCAGTATATCGTGAGAGAACAATGTTTCTTTCTACTATATGTCTTTATCCATATGTCTTTATTTCAATATCTCTTGAAGATATCAACAAAACAACATTACATGGGATATAAAACGAAGCCCACAGCATACATAGTAAACAAAACCCTTCGATATAATAAAGCAAGTCCGATTGCAATAGATCGGAACAGCCCCGATCTACAAAACCCAACTAGCGCCAATACCCGCGAAGTGGGTGGATGCCTATAGAGTTGTTTGTACGGAGTACATGGAGAAAGCACCCCCTAGCTGAACCTTCAATCGAACACCTGATACATTGATATCTCACATTGAACATGAACATGAACATAAACCTGAACCTAAAAGAACGGTCAAGGAATTGTGTTAGGGTGTTATGTGTGTAGTAGTAGGTAAACCGAGTTCATTTGCCACAGCATCCAACCCCTACCCCTGCCTTCGGAAAGCCTATTCCAGTTAGACCATCGCCATAGATCTACGCGCCATATGCCCTGCTCTATCTTTCTTTGTTTACCTCCTGCGCCACAAAATCCCTCATGTGAGGTGTATGCCTCGCTAAACAGCTTTGCGTAGCGTCTGAATCTGAAATTTTATGCATCGGACATAGGATTCCCTGCCGGGCAGATCTTTCAGATCGGCGATCTGGATCTGCATCTGGCATTATACATAGTAGTATTCTGATCAGCCACACGTGTCGGCTAAAGTCGCTTGAACTGGGCTTTGATTTGCATTTGAGTCATATAAATCAAGTTCAAACGCAATTTCTCATGGGCCAATTAGACAGCCTCTAATTCTATATCTATCTCTCAATCGAGGAAAGCAGACCTCGGGATACAAGCCATGAATATTGTATATTATATTCAACATTTCAATACAAGTCAAGGGTCTAATCTAATCCAGCCCATAGTCTTAAAAATGCACGCAAATCAACAGATGTAATCAATATACAATGACCATGGGAAAAAAAAAAAGGGGGAATCAAATGTAAAAAAGGCTTGGAAAAGTAATCACAACTCATCCTTATCCTCCGCCGGCGGAGAGACAACCGGTCGCCCAGAATCCTTCGCCAAATCAACTCCAATCTTCTTGCGCCACTTCTCCCAAAGAGCATGGAAGTCCTTCTCCATCCCGCTCTCCATCTGATCAGGCAGTACAACAGTATATTCAACAAACAGATTGCCCGCTTCATCATTCTCATCATGGTGATCATGTAAATGACCCTCAGAGTAATGCGGCATGCCCTCCCCGGCAACAGTCTCAACAGCCAACGGCTGCACGACCTCACCACGTCCACGTCCAAGACGAACAACATGTCCATCGAGATGCGTAAGATTGCGACTCCAGCCACCCATCCACGCCTCGCGCAGCGAAAGGGTCTCCTTCCAGAAAAGATCCTTCCCCTTCCGTCGGAAGAAAGTCCCATCTGTCCTCTCCTCCTCCGAAGCACCAAGCTCAGGCGCCTTCTCATCCAAAATAACAATCAAATCTCCGGCAATCCAGTCGGGGCTCTCATCAGCCTCATTCTCGAAAACAAGTCTAGTCCCCTTGCCCATTCCACGCTCAATGGTAGCACTAGTCTCAACCTGATTCCTAACAACCCGGCTGCCCGAACAAACAGGACAAGGATTCTTAATCTTCTTCCCCTGTCCATGACACTTATCACACTGCATCTGCACCTGCTGGAACATGCCCGGCGCAAGCATATGTTTCTGAAGAACCATACCACGTCCACCGCACCGATCACAAGTAACAACATGGCGATCCTTAGATCCGGTGCCCTCGCAAGAATCGCAAATCTGCTGCTTCTCAACGAGGAAGTTGATCTCGCGTCCATTGTAGAAATCGCGCAGTGGCAGCGCCGCCCGCACTTCCATGTCCGGTCCGCGACGGTGTCCAGGTGCGCGGCCGGAGTGTCCACCCCCGCCGAAGAATCGCGAGAAAATATCGAAGGGATCGTGGCCGCCTCCAGCTGATCCGCCTTTGCGGTGCTGCTCTACACCGTCGTGTCCGTATTGGTCGTATACTTTGCGCAGTGTGCTGGTCGAGAGCACATCATAGGCGTCTGCTATTTCGACGAATTTCTCGCGGGCCGTATCATCGCCGCTGCGAGGTGGGTTAGCAGTTGCGTTGTGTGGGTGTAATGTGTACCATGTGCGGAGTCACAGTTGAGAAATGAAAGCATGCAGAAATAGAAGAGGGTAGGAGCTGCACTCACGGGTTCTTGTCGGGGTGATATTTCTTGCTTAGTGTCCTGTACGCGCGCTTGATGTCTCTCTCCGATGCGGACTTGGCGAGTCCAAGAACCTTGTAGTAATCCTCGGCGGCGATAACAACAACGGAGAATAGCACCACGGCTACCGCGACTAGAAGTCGTAATAATTGCATTTTCAGCGGCGTGGAGCTGCGCGAGCAGCTGCTCGTGCGCTCGGGGTGGGATGTGGAGCTTTTGTGCTTTTGTTGACCGAAGTATGTAGAAGCTGTAGCTTCGACGAGCTAGGGTTTTGGTGGATTTGTTGTGATGTTTAATTATTCGACATGTGGTATGCAATCGCTCGTAGCGCAGGTATTCTACTCCGGTGAGCTTTATGCCAGAGAGTAAAGAATTAGAGATCGGAGGTGTTGGTGGCTCCGCGGCTTCATTGTGCTAGATCTACATTAGGTGGCCTAAAAGAGGAACAATGTTCAGCCGGGTCACGTGGAAGTATGAGCACGAATTGGGAGATAAGTAATAAACAATGAGTAACTAATGTACAGTAAAAGAGTAGACTTTAATTTAGCATTGGTATTTATGATC